CCTCTTTGGCGTCCGCTCCCTCCCCTGGTGTGTGGGAGGTTTCACAACTTCTTCTTCCGGCTCCAGGTCTGGGAGGTGTTTCTTGTGGGGGCTGATCTCCCCACTCGCTCCACCCCCCCCGCTCCCTCCTCGTTCGCGTCTCGCTGGGCCCCCCCCCCCCCCCCCCCCCGCACCAGCGCCCTCTCTGACTGACATAGCTAGCGGCTGGCAGACACCGCTTAGGGGTTCGTGACGTGTGCGCCCCCCCCCCCCCCACTCACGGGTCCACACTCGCTAACCGCGCGGATTGCTTAACATTGTTTAAATGGCCGCTCAACAAGCCGACCGGCTGCGCTCGGAGGTAGTTGATTACTCTATATTTTTCGATTTAAAGCTTTCGTGACTGCAGGGATTCATCTTCTTGGTTGTTGCAGTAAAGTCACGTAGAAGGGAAATAACAGAAAGACAGCGTCTTTCCTCGCCTGTTCTCTTGTGCTGGGCCGTACCCCTTCTCCCCGTGTGTGCCGTACGGACACCGAGGTGTTCGCATTACGTGCCGGGAGCCGGGCAGAAACATTTTTTCTCTGCTCCCGTGCACGAGTTCGTCCTCGTGTGGTGGTGGAAGAGGTCCGACGTTTCGTGCCGCTAACACGCGCGGTTGACTTGCGCGCGGCTGTGATCGCGTGAGCCACTGACTTCCCCCCCCCCTCCTCCTTGTTCGAGGCCGAAGCAAATTGTAATTCGTCCCAGATTCATCCATAGCTGGTGGGGGGTGAGGCTCTATGACCACGGGAGATGGGTCGTTCTCCTTGGCTATGTCGCCTTCATCGTCCACGGTCTCCTGCTTGGGCAGCCCCTTCCCCCAGACGCACGCTGTTGCTTCCTCCTCCTTGGCAAGTTTCTTCCTCAGCCCGCTCGCCACTCGGCGCGGCGTCTGGGATGGCAAAAACCGCCTCTTTGGCGTCCGCTCCCTCCCCTGGTGTGTGGGAGGTTTCACAACTTCTTCTTCCGGCTCCAGGTCTGGGAGGTGTTTCTTGTGGGGGCTGATCTCCCCACTCGCTCCACCCCCCCCGCTCCCTCCTCGTTCGCGTCTCGCTGGGCCCCCCCCCCCCCCCCCCCCCCCCGCACCAGCGCCCTCTCTGACTGACATAGCTAGCGGCCGGCAGACACCGCTTAGGGGTTCGTGACGTGTGCGCCCCCCCCCCCCACTCACGGGTCCACACTCGCTAACCGCGCGGATTGCTTAACATTGTTTAAATGGCCGCTCAACAAGCCGACCGGCTGCGCTCGGAGGTAGTTGATTACTCTATATTTTTCGATTTAAAGCTTTCGTGACTGCAGGGATTCATCTTCTTGGTTGTTGCAGTAAAGTCACGTAGAAGGGAAATAATAACAGAAAGACAGCGTCTTTCCTCGCCTGTTCTCTTGTGCTGGGCCGTACCCCTTCTCCCCGTGTGTGCCGTACGGACACCGGGGTGTTCGCATTACGTGCCGGGAGCCGCGCGGAAACCTTTTTCTCTGCTCCCATGCACGAGTTCGGCACAACGCTGCGTAGATGTCTGGGGGGGGGTTTGAGCGCTTTTCTTCATGGTGGTGAGGTTACCACACTAAACTATTTCCTCGTGTGGTGGTGGAAGAGGTCTGACGTTTCGTGCCGCTAACACGCCCGGTTGACTTGCGCGCGGCTGTGATCGCGCGAGCCACCGACTTCCCCCTCCTTGTTCGAGGCCGGAGCAAATTGTATTCGTCCCAGATTCATCCATAGCTGGTGGGGGGTAAGGCTCTGACCACGGGAGATGCGTCAATCTCCTTGGCGATGTCCCCATCTTTCGGACGCTGTCTTTCCGACAGACCTGTTCGTCACCTGAGGACGGCTGCTTGCGTTGTGGCCGAAACGTCGTGAGAATGATTTTATTATGTTTTATTATTTTATTATTTCCATTCTATGTGACTTTACCGAAAGAACCAATAAGATACTCTCTATATTCTTGGTTTTTTTCGGTAAAGTCACGTAGGTAAAAAATTGAAATTAATAAAAGTAAAATAAAAATAAAATACAAATCACGACGTTTCGGAGGCAACACAAGCCTCCGTCTTCAGGTGGAACCATCACAGCTCGCTCGCTGCATCAAGTAAATGAGAAATTCCAAGAGATCCGACCTTGTACATATACTGGTTGAGGGGGGAGGAGCCAGGACAGGCCCCTGGATAGGAGTTTTTTTGTTATTATTATGGGAAGGTTGGTGCGGCTGAAGCTACGGCTAGTCTGATTTACTCTCTGCGCGATACGCTCGCGGCGCGGGCGAACATTCATCTATTAATGTTTTTGTGCGCGCGTGTCGTACCCACAATGATTGGAGTCGCCCACACATGGCAGGGCGCCGATCGCTGTCCCACCGCTCTTTACCACTCTTCACACACACAGCGCGTCAACCGACAATCTGGCACCGAGGTTTTCATTTCCGGCGCGATTAGCGCTTTACTTCATGGTGGTGAGGTTCCCACACTAAACTTTCCTCGTGTGGTGGTGGAAGAGGTCCGACGTTTCGTGCCGCTAACACGCGCGGTTGACTTGCGCGCGGCTGTGATCGCGCGAGCCACCGACTTCCCCCCCCCCCTCCTTGTTCGAGGCCGAAGCAAATTGTATTCGTCCCAGATTCATCCATAGCTGGTGGGGGGTGAGGCTCTATGACCACGGGAGATGGGTCAATCTCCTTGGTGATGTCCCCTTCATCTTTCAGACGCTGTCTTTCCGACAGACCTGTTCGTCACCTGAGGACGGCTGCTTGCGTTGTGGCCGAAACGTCGTGAGAATGATTTTATTATGTTTTATTTTTATTATTTTATTATTTCCATTCTATGTGACTTTACCGAAAGAACTAAGAAGATACTCTCTCTATTCTTGGTTTTTTCGGTAAAGTCACGTAGGTAAAAAATTAAAATTAATAAAAGTCAAATAAAAATAAAATCACGATGTTTCGGAGGCAACACAAGCCTCCGTCTTCAGGTGGAACCGTCACAGCACGCTCGCTGCATCAAGTAAATGAGAAATTCCAAGAGATCCGACCTTGTACATATACTGGTTGAGGGGGGAGGAGCCAGGACAGGCCCCTGGATAGGAGTTTTTTGTTATTATTATGGGAAGGTTGGTGCGGCTGAAGCTACGGCTAGTCTGATTTACTCTCTGCGCGATACGCTCGCGGCGCGGGCAAACATTCATCTATTAATGTTTATGTGGGCGCGTGTCGTACCCACACTGATTGGAGTCGCCCACACACGGCAGGGCGCCGATCGCTGTCCCACCGCTCTTTACCACTCTTCACACACACAGCGCTTCAACCGACAATCTGGCACCGAGGTTTTCATTTCCGGCGCGATTAGCGAACCCTTGATAGTTGGTTTTTTACCCTTTTATCTGGGAACAAAACTGACGCCTTTTTCTTTTTCACAAGGAGTCATGTTTGCATTGACCACTGCCTGCGGTCGGAATGCAAACAAAAAAACACAACTCTGATCATGTATGCACTGTCCTTGAAGTTGATTGGTCCACACCCGAGACAGCTTTTCTTAGAGCCTAGTCTCACATGGTGTTGAACCAGATGACGCCAAAAGGCGCACAACTCAAAGACAATGCACCAGCAGAGTATGAGAGCTCGGTAGTTAGCATTTACATCATTGGAACCTCATTTGCCAGTAGCAAAATATGATAATTGGTTTTTTACCCTTTTATCTGGCAACAAAACTGACACCTTTTTTTACAAGGAGTAATGTTTGCATAGACCACAATGCCTGCAGTCATAATGCAAACAAAACACGTTCCTTCGTAGTGGGCAGGTAGGAACTTGGTTGGACAGCGCATTCGTGCACGACAGACAGACAAATAATCACTGGTGGGCAAGTGTGCAACCTGTTGTTCCTACCTGTATGTATAAAAGATAACTTGACTTTAGGCAGCCAGGCAGACAGCCCCCTTAACTATCGCCCCCCCCCTCCCTTAGGCCCCTCCCCTGACCCCCCTTCCCTTAGGCCCCTCCCCTGACCACCCCTTCTCTTTGGCCCCTCTGCTGACCCCCCCCAGGCCCCTCTCCTGGCTCCCCCCCTTAGGCCCCTCCGCTGACCCCCCCCCTTAAGCCCCTCCGCTGACCCCCCCCTCAGGCCCCTCCGCTGACCCCCCCCCCCCCCTCAGGCCCCTCTCCTGACCCTCCTCCCTTAGGCACCTCCCCTCTCCGTACCCGGCAGTAGGTCTCCACCAATCAAAGAGCTGTTTATGTTATATATTTATTTATGCACGACAGACAGACAAATCATCCCTGGTGGGCAGTGTGGAACATTGTTCCTACCTGTAAAACACAACTCTGATAATGTATGCACTGTCCTTGAAATTGATTGGTCCACACCCGAGACAGCTTTTCTTAGAGCCTAGTCTCCATTAGTGTTGGACCAGATGACGCCCCCCCCCCCAGCTACCCCCTCCAAACAGCGCCTAACCTCTTATCACCTAACCCTCGCAATGTGCGATTAGCCCCACGCTAGGGCTGACGGTGAACGGGGCTGACTCACCCCCCGCCCCCCCCCCCCCCCCCCGTACTATCACCTCGCAGCTGCCCAGATGAATCGTTCGCAGCGGCACCCAACGAACGTCACACAGACGCCGAGGGCGGTTGGTGTTCACCGCTACTCCAGAGGAAGAACTCTTGATTTAATTTTGTCTCTCTCTCTATCCTCTCCTTATCTTCGCAAGATATCCCTTAATGCCCTGATGACGTGACGTCATCCTGCGCGTCCAATCGAATGCTTTTTTGCAGCCGTTTTCGAGCGCCCTGCCCGTTACGGGATGTGCACTACATCACCCCCCCCCCCTTTCCATTGTCCTTGCAGCGGCGTTCCTTATCGCCGACTCGCCGTTTTAATCGAATACACCGGGAGGGGCACCCGCGGGCATTTCTTCCCCCCCCCCCTTGTCCCACTGTGTGTGCTGTCCGCAGGGGCGTTTGCCTTGGGGACCCCTCCCCTCCCCCGTGTCACGTATTCTTCATCCCGTAAATCGCTCTGCCCCATTTTTGGGGGGCCGCCATGTAATCCGGCCTGGGGGGGGGGGGGTCCGGCCAATCTTCTGTTGCTGCCGCAGCAGCTTCTGCCGCTGCTGCCGCAGGAGCTTCTATTGCCGCTGCTGCCGCTGCAGCTTCTGCTGCCGCCGCTGCAGCTTCTGCTGCCGCCGCTGCAGCTTCTGCTGCCGCCGCTGCAGCTTCTGCTGCCGCCGCTGCAGCTTCTGCTGCCGCCGCTGCAGCTTCTGCTGCCGCCGCTGCAGCTTCTGCTGCCGCCGCTGCAGCTTCTGCTGCCGCAGCTGCAGCTTCTGCTGCCGCAGCTGCAGCTTCTGCTGCCGCAGCTGCAGCTTCTGCTGCCGCAGCTGCAGCTTCTGCTGCCGCAGCTGCAGCTTCTGCTGCCGCAGCTGCAGCTTCTGCTGCCGCTGCTGCAGCTTCTGCTGCCGCTGCTGCAGCTTCTGCTGCCGCTGCTGCAGCTTCTGCTGCCGCTGCTGCAGCTTCTGCTGCCGCTGCTGCAGCTTCTGCTGCCGCTGCTGCAGCTTCTGCTGCCGCTGCTGCAGCTTCTGCTGCCGCTGCTGCAGCTTCTGCTGCCGCTGCTGCAGCTTCTGCTGCCGCTGCTGCAGCTTCTGCTGCCGCTGCTGCAGCTTCTGCTGCCGCTGCTGCAGCTTCTGCTGCCGCTGCAGCTTCTGCTGCTGCTGCCGCTGCAGCTTCTGCTGCTGCTGCCGCTGCAGCTTCTTTCGCTGCAGCCTCTGCTGCAGCTTCTGCTGCCGCTGCTGCCGCTGCAGCTTATGCTGCCGCTGCAGCCGCTGCTGCCGCTGCAGCCTCTGCTGCCTCTGCTTCCACTGCTGCAGCCGCTGCTTCCGCTGCTGCCGCAGCAGCTTCTGCTGCCGCAGCAGCTTCTGCTGCCGCCTCTGCTGCCGCCGCTGCAGCCTCTGCTGCCGCCGCTGCAGCCTCTGCTGCCGCCGCTGCAGCCTCTGCTGCCGCCGCTGCAGCCTCTGCTGCCGCCTCTGCTGCCGCCTCTGCTGCCGCCTCTGCTGCCGCCTCTGCTGCAGCCTCTGCTGCCGCCGCTGCAGCCTCTGCTGCCGCCGCTGCTGCCGCCTCTGCTGCCGCCTCTGCTGCCGCCTCTGCTGCCGCCGCTGCAGCCTCTGCTGCCGCCTCTGCTGCAGCCTCTGCTGCCGCCTCTGCTGCCGCCTCTGCTGCCGCCTCTGCTGCCGCCTCTGCTGCCGCCGCTGCAGCCTCTGCTGCCGCCGCTGCTGCCGCCTCTGCTGCCGCCTCTGCTGCCGCCGCTTCAGCCTCTGCTGCCGCCTCTGCTGCCGCCTCTGCTGCCGCCTCTGCTGCCGCCGCTGCAGCCTCTGCTGCCGCCGCTGCAGCCTCTGCTGCCGCCGCTGCAGCCTCTGCTGCCGCCTCTGCTGCCGCCTCTGCTGCCGCCTCTGCTGCCGCCGCTGCAGCCTCTGCTGCCGCCGCTGCAGCCTCTGCTGCCGCCGCTGCAGCCGCCGCTGCAGCCTCTGCTGCCGCCTCTGCTGCCGCCGCTGCCGCCTCCGCTGCCGCCGCTGCAGCCTCCGCTGCCGCGTCGGTCGCTGCAGCCTCCGCTGCCGCCGCTGCAGCCTCTGCTGCCGCCGCTGCAGCCTCTGCTGCCGCCGCTGCAGCCTCTGCTGCCGCCGCTGCTGCAGCCTCTGCTGCCGCCTCTGCTGCCGCCTCTGCTGCAGCCTCTGCTGCCGCCTCTGCTGCAGCCTCTGCTGCCGCCTCTGCTGCAGCCTCTGCTGCCGCCTCTGCTGCAGCCTCTGCTGCCGCCTCTGCTGCAGCCTCTGCTGCCGCCTCTGCTGCAGCCTCTGCTGCCGCCTCTGCTGCAGCCTCTGCTGCCGCCTCTGCTGCCGCCTCTGCTGCAGCCTCTGCTGCCGCTGCAGCCTCCGCTGCAGCCTCTGCTGCCGCTGCACCCGCTGCCGCCTCTGCTGCCGCCTCTGCTGCCGCTGCAGCCTCTGCAGCCTCTGCTGCCGCTGCAGCCTCTGCAGCCGCTGCAGCCGCTGCAGCCGCTGCTGCCGCTGCAGCCTCTGCAGCCGCTGCAGCCGCTGCAGCCGCTGCAGCCGCTGCCGCCGCTGCAGCCGCTGCAGCCGCTGCAGCCGCTGCTGCAGATTCTGCCGCTGCAGCTTCTGCCGCTGCAGCCTCTGCTGCCGCTGCAGCTTCTGCTTCAGATTTTCCATTTGACATTTGAAGTTGTCCATTCCTCCACTTGTTGTGTATCTACCGCTGCGGACTTTCCGCACAGGAGCTCGCCCCACGGGGCAAGGCGGCGAGGAAGGTGGCCGTGGGGGGCTAAACGTCCGGGGCCGGCAGCCCTGGGCATATCCCGCGCTCAGAGGTCGCAAACGGGTTTTGATTCCTTACCCGTACCCGGCCGCACCAGGGTCGCAAATGGGTACCCGTACACGTAACCGGCCGGGTACGGGTAGCCGTTCCCTACCCATACCCTACCCGAAACGAGTGACAAACGGTTACTCACCAATGACTCGCGGCCTACCCGTACCCGGCCGCACCAGGGTCGCAAATGGGTACCCCCGTACCCGTACCCGGCCGGGTACGGGTACGGGTACCCCCGTACCCGTACCCGGCCGGGTACGGGTACGGGTACACGTTCCCTACCCGTACTCGTACTCTACCCGAAATGAGTGACAAACGGTTACTCACCAGTGACTCACGAGGGGGAGGAGGATGATCTGAGCATGCTGCTGCTGCTGCTTCGTCGTCGTCTTGATGATGTTTGTGTCTACGAACAAAGCGGCGCCACAGATCGACTTTCTGTTGCACAGCGGCACAACGCAAAGCGAAGCAATGGGGGGGGGGGGGGTGTTTGGCCAAACTAAAAAACACCGAAATGACGAACGAATCAAAGTTGCGACTAAACCGAGCGGCGTCTTCGTCTTCTTGCTGCTGCTGCTTCTGATGATTATGGTGCAGCTGCTGCGTCTGATGATGATGATGATGCTGCTGCTTCTGCTGATGATGATGATCGTAAAACAAACAAACAAAGAACTCCGGGCACCCTCGTGGTGTGAGCTTCAGGAGGAGTGCTGCCAGGTTTGGTGGTTGTGACGCTTTGGAGTTGTGTGGTTGGGGTTGGTGGTTGTGTGGTTGTGACGCGTGTGGTTGGTGGTTGTGATGCGTGTGGTTGTGGGTTGTGCGGTTGGTGGTTGTGTGTGGAGCGTGTGCAATTCACTACGTTCGTGAGAGTTGAGCGGAGGGGGGGGCAGTCTGTGTGGTGAGTCTATGAGTATGAGTGTGAGTCTGTGGCTCTCTGTGCGTGTGAGTCTGAGTGTGATGAGTCTGTGGCTCTCTGTGCGTGCGAGTCTATGGCTCTGTGCGTGAGTCTCTGTGTGAGTCTGTGGGTCTCTATGAGTGAGTCTATGGCTCTCTGCGTGAGTCTCTGTGGGAGTGTCCGCGAATTTGCTTCGTGGGGGATGTTTGTGTCGCGTGGATTTGATGTTTTCTCTTTTCAATCGCAGCGTGCCGAGCGCAGCCGCCCGGCACGCGAGGCGGCCAGCCACAAACAGCACTAATTGAAGTTGTGTCAAGGAGAATAAAAGAGCGTGATATTAAGGCGTTGTCGTGGAGTTATTGGTGGTGGTGGTTGGTGGTTGATGATGATGATGGTGGTGGTGGTTGATGGTGGTGGTTGATGGTGATGGTGGTGACAAAGGAGTGAGATGGAACAGATGGAGACTAATCCACACTCTGCTGCTGTAGAAGGGAGTGAGATGGAACAGATGGAGATTAGTCCACACACTCTGCTGCTGAAGAATGGAGTGAGATGGAACAGATGGAGATTAGTCCACACAAAGTGAGTGAGATGGAACAGATGGAGATTAGTCCACACACACTCTGCTGTAGAAGGGAGTGAGATGGAACAGATGGAGATTAGTCCACACTCTCTGCTGCTGTAGGAGGGAGTGAGATGGAACAGATGGAGATTAGTCCACACACTCTGCTGCTGTAGAAGGGAGTGAGATGGAACAGATGGAGATTAGTCCACACACTCTGCTGTAGAAGGGAGTGAGATGGAACAGATGGAGATTAGTCCACACACTCTGCTGCTGTAGGAGGGAGTGAGATGGAACAGATGGAGATTAGTCCACACACTCTGCTGTAGGAGGGAGTGAGATGGAGATTAGTCCACACTCTGCTGCTGTAGAAGTGAGTGAGATGGAACAGATGGAGATAAGTCCACACTCTCTGCTGCTGTAGAAGGGAGTGAGATGGAACAGATGGAGATTAGTCCACACTGCTGCTGAAGAATGGAGTGATATGGAACAGATGGAGATTAGTCCACACTCTCTGCTGCTGAAGAATGGAGTGAGATGGAACAGATGGAGATTAGTCCACACTCTGCTGCTGTAGAATGGAGCGAGATGGAACAGATGGAGATTAGTCCACACTCTCTGCTGCTGTAGAAGGGAGTGAGATGGAACAGATGGAGATTAGTCCACACACACTCTGCTGTAGAAGGGAGTGAGATGGAACAGATGGAGATTAGTCCACACTCTCTGCTGCTGTAGAAGGGAGTGAGATGGAACCGATGGAGATTAGTCCACACTCTCTGCTGCTGTAGAAGGGAGTGAGATGGAACAGATGGAGATTAGTCCACACTCTATGCTACTGTAGAAGGGAGTGAGATGGAACAGATGGAGATTAGTCCACACTCTCTGCTGCTGTAGAAGGGAGTGAGATGGAACAGATGGAGATTAGTCCACACTCTATGCTACTGTAGAAGGGAGTGAGATGGAACAGATGGAGATTAGTCCACACTCTCTGCTGCTGTAGAAGGGAGTGAGATGGAACAGATGGAGATTAGTCCACACTCTATGCTACTGTAGAAGGGAGTGAGATGGAACAGATGGAGATTAGTCCACACAAAGTGAGTGAGATGGAACAGATGGATATTAGTCCACACAAAGTGAGTGAGATGGAACAGATGGAGATTAGTCAACACTCTCTATGCTGCGGTTAGGCTCGTTACCGTAGTTACTGTGATGCTCGTTACCGTATTACCCCGCTAAGCGCCTTAGCCCGGCTGATCTGTCTATTCATGGCTGGGCGCGTTCATTGTGAGTGTGTCTGTGAGTGTCTGTGTGACTGTGTCTGTGTGACTGTCTGTGTGTGTGTGTCTGTGTGACTATCTCTGTGAGTATGTGTGCGTGTGTGAGTGTTTGTGTGTGTGTCTGTCTGTGTGAGTGTTTGTGTGTGTGTCTGTCTGTGTGAGTGTTTGTGTGTGTGTGTGTCTATGTGTGTGAGTGGGTAGGGTAGTGGTTAACACTACGCTACGAACCTGGCGACCCGAGTTTTCTCTTTTGTGTGGTGAGTGAATGGGTAGGTGGGTGGTAGAGTGAATGGGTGAGTTAGAGAATGAGTGAGTGACAGAATGGGTGAGTGAGTGTACGGGTGGGTGGGTGAGTGAATGGGTGAGTTAGAGAATGGGTGGGTGAGTGAATGGTTGAGTGAACGGGTGCTTGGGTGAGTGAGTGAATGGGTGGGTTGGTGAGTGAATTGGTGGGTGGGTGAGTGGGTGAATGGATGGGTGAGTGAGTGACTGGGTGAATGAGTGGGTGAGTGAATGGGTGAGTGAGTACATGGGTGAGTTGGTGAGTGAATGGGTGGGTGAGTGAGTGAATGAGTAAGTGAGTGAATGTGTGAGTTAGATAAGGGGTGGATGAGTGGGTGAGTTAGAGAGTGGGTGGGTGGGTGAGTTAGTGAGTGAATGGGTGAGTGAGTACATGGGTGAGTG